GTCTAAACCAAGCCACCTCGCGCCCAATGGCTGTAAAATGGTTTGAGTGGGCTCCTTTAAGCTGTTTCGGGCATCATTCGACAAGGGCCCTAGCATCATGTTTAAAGACTCCCCTATTAGCGGCAGGAACCCAACAGCGGGGTCCAATCCCCCAAAAAGTTTCCCCTACCAATGGGATGTGTTGTTTGTGTTTTCGGTCCCATCCGTTCATCTGAGGAAAGCTAAGCCCGGCCTGGAAGTGGAAGCTTCCCGTGTAGCAAAGGCTGCAAGTGTCATAGGATGACACCTCGCTTGGATCGTGGGCTTTAAGCTAGGTCCTCCAGTAGAGAGCTTAGAATAAGGGTACCCTTTTTCTGTAGTCTATTTTAGTAGGGGAAGCCTCCCCCAGAAAAGAAACGGTAGAGACGGGCACTATTGGGGGGACCTTGTAAACGTTGGAACCCACGAGTTCTCTACTTTCGATGACCTTCCTGGACTTGGTGCTTCGGCTCCCTGTGCTGGGCGCCCATTTTTTTTTGGCGCACTCCAGCGCGAAGCCCAGAAAAAGACCCACTTCCAAGCCGCGGGGGGGGGGGGGGGGCATCTGGGCCCTTTTTCTTTCGGCCGCCCGGCCTCCTCGCGGATATCAGAGCATCTATGAACATCCGAGGAGGTCATCGCCATGCCACAGAGAAAGCACCTGGCCAAGGCAGTTCTGCATCAAGTGGACATGAAGCAATTCAGATTCATCGTATCAGTACCTCGCAAGCCCGAGTCTGTGAGTAGTTAGGCCCTAGCCCTTCTATAGCAGCCCTAGCCACATGGGTTTTGAAAAAGGAACACACCCGGCATCTCTTTCATTGGCCAGCAGAAAAGGAAAGAAACAACAACCCAGGTCACCCGGCATGAATCCCCCTCTTGCTCCATGGAGACGTGGGTCTTGCTGTAGCGTGACTCAGCGTGATCCTTTTGACCCAGTACTTGCCAGAACCTATCGTACCAAAACATTAGGAACAAGTGATTGCGCCGCCCTTTCTGTGCAGCACGCTCCTACCCATATTCCAGGCAAATGTATCAATCTGCAGGGGAGTAGAGAGTACTTGCTACCCCCAAACCAAGCAAGTGTCCGGTCCATGGCTGGTAAACCTTAAATGTAAACTAAAGCGGACCACAAAAAAACACAAACCCATGGTTGGTCACACAAAAGGTGGCGTCCAAGGTAAGAGTTGGAATCCTTTTCTTTTTGACTATGCCAACCCTTAATAATCTGCCGGCGTCATGTACTCCGGGGTCAACCAGAAGTTCAATTCAAAGGTCTCTGCTTCGGCTGGGGTTACCCCGCTCCAGATCCGAGGCGCATGGGGCGCTGGCAGGCGCTACAGGACACAGTCACCGAGAGCGCGCTCTGGCGCGCCGTGGCGCGCTCCAGCGCGCGCTTGGTGCGGCCTTTCTGGACCTCTTTGGACATGGCCTGAGACACGCCGAGAAACACACACACACACACACCAGATTCGCATGGAACCTCTTGTTTTCGGGTCCCCCCCCCTTCCCCGCCGAATGAGGGAGAGCCCTAACTTCTATACTTCCCTTCAAAATGAAGAACTCACCTAAATGAGTTCCAGCCTCTTTTCGCACCAAAGAGAAAGCTGGACAACGATCATTCACAAACGCCCTTGACAAATTGCCTAAACCATGCCTAAACCCGCCCCCAGCTCATTGGCAAGCTCGCACAAATCGGTCTGGGCTGCCCTCAGATCCCCTGCTAAATTCTCACTTTTCCTGGGTTCAATGAAAACTACCCCAAAACCCCAGTGGGTTCAATGGAAACTACCACTAAACCCCAAAAGCCTAAAAGGCTCAGGAACCGCACGGCTGGGGGCTTCACCCCGCCCCGCATCGGTGCGCTCGAGTGGCCCAGACTTCCCCGCGGGAGTTGGTGCCGCCGAAGCCAAAAGAGTTCAGCCCGCCGATGGCGCCCTGAGTCGCCCCACGTCCCTCCGCCAGTTGGGTCAAAGCCAAAGGTTTTCAGGTTCCGCGGTTGCCCGGAAAAGTAAGGCTTGGATGCACTTTGAACCTGTAATCTTTGAGGAGCCCAAGGTGCTTTCCGTTGCTCTAGCCATCTTGAGCACGGGGCCAATAGAGAATGTTCCCCCAGTTGGGTATGGGTTAAAATCGAACCACCAGGAATTGGAGCAACGGGAATTTTAGGCCATGGAACCCATTTACCATGCTAACCCATTTTGGGGGTGCCCGATTTTTGACCCACAGCCAGTTGAATCTTGCTGGTGCTCAGGGAATGGAATGACCTGGGCTTTGGTCCCCGAAAAAAAACCACCAGTGCCCTCATTCCCCACTGAGCAACAGCGAGTTTAATTGTACCCCTTGGGAATCGTCAAACAAGTGGATGCATGCGGAATCTGGGCCACAAAATGATGGGTATGCGTCACAATAGGGATTCGGAGCAATGGCCCCAGAAGGGCTTTGTGGCGTCCCAGCGGTCCCCAGCTTTGCCCAAGATCCAAATGGGTATGGGTCAAAATGAAACCAGCAGGGGACCACAAGTTTTGGTTCCATTTACCAGGGCAAGCCATTTTGGGAACTTATTTTTGACCCACACCCAAATGAAGGCCTGACTGAGATATGGCCTGCCCGCAAAAACATCATCCAGCTCATGTCGGCCTCAGGGTGAGCACCCCTGGTGCTTCCAGGGGTGCTTCAGGGCTCCTTGTAACCCCCCTTCAAACATCACTCCACGAAAAGGAGACCTAGGTCTCTTGGCATGGCCAAAAGATGATGTGCAAATCCCCCCCCCCCAAAAAAACAAACAAACAAACAAACGGGTCTCTTGACATGGCCAACAGATGATGTGTACATCCCCCCCCCCCAAAAAAAAAAAAAAAAAAAACAAAAAAAACAAGGGACATCCGAGGACCACTGGGGGTTAGGACGCCAACCATTGGGAGGTGTCGGTGTCCCCCTCTTCACGCCTTCTCCTGCACATTCAGTGGGCAAACCTCCACTGGGAAGTGGCCCGGGAAGCCAACATCCTGAGCCGAAGACTCAAACCCAACCCAGCTTTCTCCAGTTGGTGACCGCCTTTGTCACTCTTTTTGAGCCCAAACAATTCGGGGGAACAAGCAACGTCACGTTTAGCCAATTTGTCTGACAAAACTGGCCCTTGAGCCGGGCCCATCCCTTGGACATGGAGACGCCAACATGTGTGTGTGTGTGTCAAAACATGGCATTCCCAAGTTCATGGCTGTCCTTTGGGCCTCCTTAAAGCCAAAACCAAAACAAAGTGACCTGAAAACAACACATCCCCGTGACAATGTAAATTGTGCATGGGACCCATCAATTGTCACGGGAAACGACCACCTGCTTGTCCCTGGCTCCAGAACGTACAAACAACATGTATGCAAACCTAATATACATTTCTGTCCCCTTACCTACCTCATCCCTACGGCGACTGGAACATGTTGGAGGGGGTTAATACAAAAAATAATAATAATAATCACTTTAAAGCAAACCGATATGCGGGACCAGCAAACACTGAACATCCTGCAGAGCTGATAGACCCAACTAACGATAGCAGGGCCAGCGGGTCTAGCAGGAAGCCAATTTGCCCAAAAACCAAAAAAGTGTCGAGTAACTTCCTGCGTGCCCATCTGTCGGTTCCGTTGAAAGGCAGTCAATGACTGGATTTCTCATTCAGCTGTTGGCAACGGCGCCAAGCGCATGTCTTTGGGCTAATCCACTGAGGCAGTGCTGTCATTTCCGAAGTCCAGGAACTCAGGGAGTGATTGTAACATATTGGAACGGTGGATTTGCACGAACTCGCTGCACAACCTGCTGCACAACCGGAGCCCTGATCCGAGTGCAGCTTGGCATCGTCAATGTGGGAGTTGAGGAACTTCAGGTGGCATTGAGGCGGCGCCGTTGAGTTCAGGATGGTGTTGATCTTGGACAGCGCATGTGTCTTTTTTAACAAGGCAACGCGGAGTTGGCAGTGAACATCCTTGCTCAAAGACCTGCAATGACGGCGACTACACTCGAATCGCAAGCAACCTATGGTTCCTGCCGAAAACAAACAGAACGAATTTGTATTATGGCATCTTCCGGACGGACCCTGGCTTGAGTCGAAACTCGACTGAATGAAGCCCAGCCGCTGTCTTGATTATGCCGCAGAGCCCGGCGCTCGCCTATGCAGATGTCAGATGTGACCGAGTCGGTCACCGCCTCTCCGAGTGAACTGTTTGCAAGTAGCCCAATATCCCTGATTCACTTTTGGAGCGCGTCATCGCCAACACAAGGTAGTCTTGGGCCCGACGTTCTTTGAGGCCATTCAATGGAACCTGGCACACTGACCCCGACATCCCCGCCTCCGAGTGGCCCTGGTGGCTCTTCCCAGTAGTCACCACGACCGGGACCTGCACATCCGATAGAAAATGTGCTTTCGGAGTTCTTTGGAGGGCCAATTTTTTTGTGGAGATCGGCTATGTCCAACCGGATGGGTGGATCCTGGGGCCAGGTGTCGTGCAAATGTTTCTCAAGGCGGACGTGCTTTGCGAATGGGATCGGAGGGATCCATCAGAGGCCTTCGCGGGGTTGATGCTTGCCTCTGGGCTTCTGAGCCACAAATGTGTGTGCAGCTCGCGTCATGGCGACGAGCTGCGCAAATACCCGTGGGCCCCAAGGAACCCTGATGTCACTGATGTTTCCAAACCTTGGCGGTCTCATGATTGGGTGATTGGGGGAAGCCGCCACTTTCGTCAACCGGGGAGCGGAAGGCATGTGTGCAACGCATCCCTCGCCTGCCGGTTCTTCCAGAAGACGGAGCGCACAGACCCCACCTCAATGGGGTCCCCCAAAGCCGTGCCGGTGCCATGGTTCTCAGTGCACCAGACCTCGCCTGAGTTCGCAGCGACCAAACCAGCGCCTGGAGGGGATATTTAATCAAGCTGGTGGAATAAATATTGTGGATTTTGCATTGTGCCCCAAAGTCGCTGGAGCCTTAGCTTGGCCGCGGTTTGCCTTGATGGTGCCTTCAAACAGTCAACATGGCCGGCTTCCTGGTTTCAATTGCATCCATTCTTGAAGCCCTTGTTTGGAGTGTCCCGAAAAGACTAGTTCAAATGGTTGCGTCCATTTTTGGAGAGTGCCCTTCTTTGGTCGTTTTAAAGGAAAAGAAATTGCCAGACGGAGAACAATGTTGATTCATTGACCATACGTTGAAAACAAGCTGAATCATGTGGTTCCGTCTGACACAGACGCAGATCCGTCATGATCCGTCTATAAAACGTAGAGATCCCATCGACGCAGATCCGTCCGACAGAACCCAAGGCGCTGGGCAGAAGGCCCCCGAGTCGATGGGAGGACCGGATGCAGAGCTGCTGGGAGGGCCCGTTCGGCGCGGTTAGGGAGGCGCTGCGCCCATCCTGGTTCCTGGGCTCTTAAAACTTGGGCAAAACAAAGAGAAACATCTATCTATATATAGATCCAGGTATATTAGGGTTTGTATTTTTCACGGGGGCCGGGCAGGAAGGTTTGAGTACGGGGTATGATTCGCAGGTATGATTCGCGGGTATGATTCGGGGTATGATTCGGGGGTATGATTCGCGGAAGCAGCAGCAGCAGCAGTAGTAGTAGTAGCAGTAGTCGTCGAAGTAGTAGTACTGGCAGAAATATTGTAGTAGCAACAATAGTACTAATAGTAGTAGTAGTAGTAGTAGTAGTAGTAGTAGTAGCAGTAGCAGTAGCAGTAGCAGTAATAGTAGTAGTAGTAGGTAGTAGTAGTAGTAGTAGTAGTAGTAGTAGTAGTAGTAGTAGTAGTAGCAGTAGCAGTAGCAGTAGCAGTAATAGTAGTAGTAGTAGGTAGTAGTAGGTAGTAGTAGGTAGTAGTAGTAGTAGTAGTAGTAGTAGTAGTAGTAGTAGTAGTAGTAGTAGTAGTAGTAGTAGTAGTACTAGTAGCAGTAGCAGTAGTAGTAGTAGTAGTAGTAGTAGTAGTAGTAGTAACAGTAGAAGCAGCGACTGTAGTGGCGCGGAAGCTTTGAAAAGACTTGGCGCTGGCCTTGGCAAGACAAGTTCATTGCGCGGGTATGATTCGGGTATGATTCGCGGGTATGATTCGGCTAGGTGCAAAACGGCACTGATTACAAACTCAGAATGATGGAATGTAGTAGTAGCTGTGGTCGTAGTAGTAGTAGCAGTAATAGTAGCAGTAGTAGTGGTAGTAGTAGCAGTTGCAGAAGTGTGGTAGAAGCTGTAGCATAAGCAGCGGACGCTTTGAAAAAGACTTGGCACTTGCCTTGGCAGAGGAAGCTCATTGTCCGGGTATGATTCGGGTATGATTCGCGGGTATGATTCGGCTAAGTGCAAAACGGCACTGATTACAGACTCAGAATGATGTATGTAGTAGTAGTGAGTAGTAGCAGCAGCAGCAGCAGGAATAGTAGTAGTAGAAGTAGAAGTAGAAGTAGTAGTAGTAGTAGAAGTAGTAGTAGTAGTAGTAGTAGTAGTAGAAGTAGTAGTAGTAGTAGTAGTAGTAGTAGTAGTAGTAGTAGTAGTAGTAGTAGTAGTAGTAGTAGTAGTAGTAGTTAGTAGTAAAGGTAGCAGAAACAGAAGCAGAAGCAGTAGAGTAGTAGTAGCCAGCGGTAGTAGCGGTGGTAGTGGTAGTAATACTCGTAGTCGCGGTAGTAGCAGTAGTAGTAGTAGTAGTAGTAGTAGTGATAGTAGCAGTAGTAATAGTAATTGGAGTAGTAGTAGTAGTAGTAGTAGTAGTAGTAGTAGTAGTAGTGATAGTAGCAGTAGTAGTAGTAATTGGAGTAGTAGTAGTAGTAGTAGTAGTAGTAGTAGTAGTAGTAGTAGTAGTAGTAGTAGTAGTGGTAGTGGTAGTATTGGGTAGCGCTGGTGGTGGTTGTTGTGGAGGCAGTGAGCAACACAAAACGGTAGAAGAACAGTAGCATCTTGAGCATACGTTTTAAGGGGTATGATTCGGGGGTATGATTCGGGGAGGTCCCACCTTCTGCTTTGAAGCAACTCAACACACCAAAAAAAGACAAACCCAATGTCTTCTATATATATATATATATATAAATAGATGCACATAGAATACGTATACTGTATATATATATATATATATATTTGTTGATTATGTGTCAAATTTGACCCATCGTAACAAATACAAAGTAGTTTTGGAGATCCCGGAAATAAAGACACCCCTCACGAATTCACGCAGCATATCCAAAACCAGGTTTTCTACAGGAAACTGCTTCTGGGGGCCAAAGGCATTAAAATGAAATACCACGCAGAAATGGGCGGGGGGGAAAATGGGCAGACTTTCAAATTGAGAAAAGGTGGACCGTGAGCCAGCATGCCTTTCTCACCAGCCTGTTCTCTCAGAATCAGAAAGGAAAATGCTTTGGCGGAAGTATCCAGGATGCTGCTTTGACGGATTGCTCTCACCTGTGGCACTTGCATAGCACATCGGCACAAGACCACGCGTTCACATACCCGATGTGCGCGATCCACCCAGAGGCTTAAACTTTTGTAGAATACATCTAGTTCTGTCACTCCCCCTCAAGGGAAGAGACTGTGATGAGTTCAAACACAGATATGTCATTTTCTTAGCAGGCATGATCTTCGAAGCGTGTCTTCTCACAATTGGAGGGCGAGCAAATGTTAAGCTCTCCCTCTCTCTCTCTCTCTCTGCCGCTGCATCCAAAAGCTTCGTGAGGCAACGCGTACAGGCATCTGCCATATGTGCAAGTTGAGTGCTGTTGTGATTTCCCTCGTAAGCAAACACAGACCAACTTCAGCGGTGTAGGTCTTCTGCTCGAACGCATGCTCTTAGCTTTGACGGCATAATTCTTCAATTGCACGTGTTGTCTTCGAACGCCCGTCTATGCGAGTTGGTTCTGTGCAAGTCTGCTCCGGTCCTCTGTCACCTCTCCAAATGTAGTTTTGCCTTCTGTGAGTCCCATGTGACTTGTCCGGTGCTATTCCTATGTTGGAGGGCCCTGCCTTGTAATCTTATGCTGAGCTCTTTGCCATGCCTCCTTGAAAACAGGGCTCGCTGCATTTCCTCCGTGAACTTTGCTAGGTGATGCTTGAAAACTACCTAACTACCAAAGGGGGAATACCGGGAACCTTGTGAATTATCAACCCTAAACCCCAGGATTGAAGCTTTTCCATCATGTTGGCCAAGCTGGTTTTGTTTTGCTACAAGAACCAGGAGGTCAAATCCCCAGTTCCCACCACTCCAAACCACCAATTGGGGGTAACCTGAAACATGGCCCCCTTTTGGCTCCCCATTTTCAGCCCACGCGGCACGAAGCCGGTGACGAAGCTGGCCAGCCGATCCTCCGCATCTGCCGGGCCCTCGGCGCTCTTGAAGACCGCGGCACACACCTCAGAGGAAAGGAGCTCAAGGGGACGGCATGTTGAGATCGGAATGGAACACATGAGAAATTCACAAGGAGCCAGCGGATCGTGTAAAACCAGCTGGCGTGTGAGGGGGAATAGGGCACGAAAGAAAAGAACTTCCCGTCCCTTCCACGAACATAGCACCTGGTGGGGTGGTGTCATTCTCCTCTTGTAGGAACATGTAGGGACCCCCTGTCAGTTGCCATGTTAGTGGGAGCCAGGGTCGAACAAACAAAAACCGGAGAAGCACGCGAAACTGAGCTCCGCAAAGCACAGACACGTCCCACAAGAACCAAAGCGCGAGGTCCCTGACGCCCCTCCGCGGCGCATCACGGCCCGAGGTGGGCGCCCTGCGACGTCCGGTGGCGCATTTGTTGGCCAGGGCGCCGCCTCCCCTCGGGCGTAGCCATTGGCCGAGTTGTCGAAGGACATGCTGCGGCCCATGCGGCCCAACATCCCCGCGGCCGACAAGCCGACAAAGCTGAAGGGCGACAGGCAGTTGATCCTCACGAAAAATCACCATGCGGTGCCAAGAATATCGCGCAGATTGATTTTCACAGTACAGAAATACATGTGCCCATGTATATAAACAGTATGAAAGTATGCAATACGTGCATAGGCATTGTTCTGGAACTGGAAGTATCCATGTTTCAAGAGTTGAGGTTCATTCTCCAGACGGATCGAACGCCTGCGCAACAGCTCAAGAAATATTGTGGAACATCAGCCCAGGACAATCCGGAGCCTATTTGGTGCATAGACCCCTACGCTTTCAGCAGTAGGGGAAGACGAAGAAGCCTGTTGTTTCCGGATTTACTTGCCAGCTGGGGCTCATCGACGAGGATACCGCCTCCTTCATCTCCGGGTCCTTCTTCTTCCTGAAGCCACGAGGCACATCTTTCCCCTCACAAAGGCAGCCACCCGAATGGCAGCCAAAGATGCCTTGAGCGATTCCATTAGCAAGTCTTGCCGAGTCAGTTGTTCGCTTGTCAAAGGTGGGCCGTGGGGACAAGGACAGAACCAGCACTGGCATTCCCTCGGAAGAATGCTCCAGAGAAATATCAGATTTCTAGCGTTCGGGGAGGGGGTGGGGGCCATGACTCTTTATTTGGGAGCAAGGCAACGATTATAATAGGTCCTGTGTGAGGGACAAGGTACGCGTACCCTTTGAGACAGTGGGGCTGCACAAGTCCCCAACAATGGGAGAAACGAGTGTGGCTCAAACAGGTCCTTACTTGGGTGCTGTATATCCCCCAGCAAAAAGTTTAACACTGTTTAACTGTTTGCTGGTTTAAACAAATACGAGGGGAATCCAAAAAGTTAAAGTCTAAAGATCCATCCCAATAGCAGTAGAGCTCACCGCCCCCAGTTCAAGATGAAGTGCCCCCACATGGCAAACACACAATGCTAAGGACTGCAAAGACGGGCCCGAGCAAGGTCCGGCCCGAGCCGCCGCATAGTGTTGAAGAGCAAGTTGCTGGACCTCGGTCAACATTTAGCCCTATTCAGTCTTTCCCATCACCCAAGGTAAACCAATGCACACTAACGTGCACTACCACATTGTGCCGTTCCATGCTAGGCACATCAATATACCCGAGCATGTTGCTAAGAGATTACTTGCGTTTGTGCAAAGGGAATGGCATCGCATGTTACCCTCCCAAAAAGAAACATGGAGCCTGCAAGAGGGTCCTGTTAGAGGACAATTGTCAGAAGCCCTCAGAAGAGTTCAGGTTGTTCCTACTAGTGTCGCTGGTTAAGATTTCCTGGTGGGTTCCATGTTAGTTGATGGAAGGGTAAGACCTGCTTTTTGTACAATGTCGAAAGCCTGCAATGAAATAAAGAGATCCCCAAGTAAAGGACCCACCCTCCCACCAAGTAACATGGGACCTGACAGGGGGGTCCTTTCTCCATGTTTGAAGGGACCCCCCTGTTAGGTTCCATGTTAATTGGTGGGACGGTACATCATAGTGAGCTCGTTTTGTACCCGAATCGGTGAGCTCGAAATCCAGAGATGTGGTGAAACGTTGGTGACTGATTCCTGGGCTCTAGCAAATGGGCTCCGAAATCGGACAGCTCTGTGGCGCAAGCAATCGGAGCCCCTTTGTTTCACGGTCATCCAGTCAGGCAAGTGGAGAGGTCTTCTTAAGATGGTCTTCCAAAACCCTCCGATCGTCCACGTCCATTCTTGGAAAACATGGGAAACCTTTCAAACCGGCAAAATAAAACGCGGCCCCAGCACACCAGTGAGGACGAGCAGGCCGTGTCGATGCACAGCATGGGCCCGTTGACGCCCAGAAAGTAGCCCAAGGTGCCCGCTGAGGGCTGGTTCACCGGCCGGGCCTAGCCGACACCCATTTTCAGCGTAATGTTGACCCCGGATTAAAACAGCGGTTTATTAATAGGGGGGGGGTGCTCACCTCCAATAGTGATGACTCTCCACTAAAACAGGGGCACCCCCTATTAATCAACCAGGGGTTTATTAATCCGGGGTGCCCATTACTCTTTTGGGATGTGAAAAAAGGGGCAACAGGCCAGCCATCAAATGGTACAAATCCACTGCAATTCGAAGGCGCTGAAAGCAACCAGAAGCTGCTGAGGGCAACCATGCCGAACTCCGATGTTGTTGTGTTCTCGTTTTCTTTCTATTTTTTTGGGGGGGGGAGGGGAGGACCACAGGCCACGAGCCAGGCAAGGTGCCCAGGGCATACCTCTAATCATCCATTACGCCCTCTGGCTCTGGCTTCAAATCTCGGGAACCCACAAGGGATCATCTTTCAACGTTCACAAAGCAACAGTCGAGGTTTAAAATCAAAGAAGGAACGGAACCCTTTCCACAAGCGGTAGCTTGAAAGCTTATGTTTTGAAACAAAGGGGGGAGACTTTGTGACAACATTATATATATATATATATATATTTGCTTCTCAAAGCAACCAGCCTACAACCCCTTCTAAAAGATAGCCCCATGTTTCACGAACTTTTGACCCCCCAAATTCAATTCCCCGTTCGTCCGCCCCACCCTTTCCGGCGTCCCGTCCATCGGCGGCCAAAACAAAAATACAACAACAGCCTAGTACAAAACACAACAAAAACCATTAACAAAACACATAACACTCTTTAAAAAACAAAAACGGACTTCGACGGAGCTGCTGTGGCCCACAGGTCCGGATCATCCTGGAAGGCGGTCCAGGGATCGAACTCGATGCCGATGTCCGCGTTGTAGATCCCGATGCGCTTCCCCTTCCTGGCTCGGTCATCAATTTTTGGCTGAGCAAGATGAGCAAAAACAACATTTTTTACATGTGGCTTTGTGTTGATGTTTCTCCCTTCAGGGAAGAAGGAGCCAAAATAGCAATCACTTTGCGGGCCTGCGGTTCTTGGAGGCTACCCTTTTGAGTTTGGCTTAAATTGAAGCCAAAAAGGATAGCCACTATTTCTCACACCCATGTTGGCTTCCTTTTGGGAACCATTGAGCACGGGCCATTTAGGACCCAGAAACAAGCAGTGATTTTGGGGGCGTCTTTGTGACCATTTTTCCACAACCATGAGGGAAGCCGCCCTTTGAGACCCCATTTGGAGCCGGCCAGGATGGGCAGGTCGTGGCGTTTTCTTGGCCACCAGCGGTTTGAGCTGCGAGTGACAAATGGCTGTGGGTGAAAAATAGGGTAACCCCAAAATGGCACCCTGGCAAATGGAAACAATGACTAAAACCTGTGGTACCCTGGCGGTTTAACTTTGACCCATACCCAAATGGAAATCACTCACACCCAAACTCGTTCAGGCAAGCCCAGTCACGCACAAAAGCCACCCCTGGTACACATGCAATGGGCGCACCGCAAAAGGCCACCAAGCAGCATGCCGGGCCCTCGAAAGAAATACTACGCCCAGTGTCCAGTGTTCCAAGTCAGTGCCCAATAGTGTTTGCCCAGTGTCAGTGTTCCAGTAGTGTTCATGCATCGCGCAGTCCCCAGTGTTACACTTGCGAAGTGCTGTCCACAGTGTCCAATCCGGTGTATACCCGTCCGTGTTGCCAGTGGCAAAATCCAGCTGAATGCCATGCTGCTTTCCCTGCGCTTCCCTGCAGAAAAGGAAGCCACTTCATTCCAGGGACACATCAAATCCTCATTCAGCATATATACGAGGTTGGAGGTAAGCCCTATCGTCTATTGTCACACTAGGCCCATCAGAAGTGCAAGCCTGATGCTCAGCAACTTGTTTGTTGGGCATCTTCTCCCGCAAACCTGAAAATTTCAGCAATGCATCAGCTCAGAGCGCCAACGCGAATTTGACAATGGCCAACATGTCGAGGATTGTCCAAACCATGGCCCACTCTTGGAACGCTCTGGGACGCCCTTTGGTGGCACACATATCCAGAGCAAAGCTTGGATGCTTCGTGAGCGCAAGGAGGCTTAGGGAGTGCCCAAACTTCCTTTTCAAGCCTTCCCAGATTTCAGAGGGTCACACCCTCGCCTAATCGGGCCAACTTGGTTGTGTCTTCTTTGAAGCTACCTTGTTTGATGTGATTTTTCGAACAGGCCCCCGCGAAAAGCTGCAAGGCGCTTCTGCCAGGGCACAGCGTCTTCCGATCGTAGCCGCGCATCTGCAGCGCCTCGTAGTTCTTCTCGAGGCAGAGCCGCAGGCACGGAGGCCAGCACATGGCTTCCTGCCATGGAAGGAACGATGTGCGGATTTGTTTGGGGCAGAGGCTTGGTGGGGAGATTGGTTAAGCAAACAATTGGTAACTCTCCCTCATTGGGTGCTTTGAGCTGGGCGTTGGGGGGGGGAACCCTTCTTGTTGGAGGGGGCTCGCTACACACCTGACTCCATTGCCTTTGTCTCTTGGGGTTTTGCAGAACGAGGTCCAGGCAAAAACTGGGCGGCTCTCAACATGAACCATGGGGGTTCACCAGAAAACTGATGGGATGATGCGAGCAAGGCCAAAGGAGATGGCAAAGTGGTTCATCCCTCAAAGGAGCCAACCAGCTCCTTGTCGGAAATGCCAAAGAATGTGTTATCGAAGCCCAGGATCTCGTCGTCCGGAAACATGCCAGCGTGCTTGGTATAGGACTTGGGCACTAAGCTTCCTCATGGCCAAGCAATGTGCAGCATGTTCCTTTCGCATCTCTCTGAAAATCCGGGAAGGCCATCATCTATTTTAGGGCCAGTCGGGTCCTCCGGATTAATTCGAAGTCAACGTCACCCCAAATCACCAAGCCGACCCGAAACGACACTTTGCCATCTGCAAACTCGGCTGCTCTCAGGATCAGAGGTGTAATAAATATCGATGTCCCACCGCAGAATGGGCATCTCCAAGTAGCAGTCCGTGTTGCCCATGTGCATGTTCCAATGGTTCGCGATATGGCTCACGCGCCCGGGGATCATTGGGGCAAAGGTCATGATGTTCACCTCGCGCGAGCGTGAAGGGATCTGACGGAGAAAAAAAAAAACGAATGCCTGCAGCGAAATAAACTGCATTGCCCAAATATATATCTCTATATATATCAAGATCATACACCCATGCCTCGAACACGTCGTTGTGTGTGATTTCACCCAATCGGCACCCAGCTGCAATTTCCGAAAACCCCACCCAAAAAAAAACAAAATAATATACATATATATATATATATATAAGAAACAAAGTGCGCAAAACCCAAGAACCCAAGCGGTTCGAAGGGCGGGGCCAATCAGGGAACATCACCCCTACCAAAGGAAACTCATATAAAATGAGCCCGCAAGGTGATGTTCAAAACCACCAGTCTAGGGGTACCTTCCCCATTCTTTCCAGGAATCCTTTCTAGAAAACCTTCAGACATCCAGGGAAACGGCTGGTATGGCTGGTCGTTGAAAAGAACGATGGTTGGAAAGAATGGTAAAGGAATCAAACCCCTAGAAACAGGGCAAACATAGGGAGCCCCGCCGCATTACTTGCCCCAATCCGGTCCTTCCAGGGGTTGGCATTTTCCTGGGTCAGGCGCCTGGTCTCCAATGGGAATGGCCAGGCCCTGGACTTCAGGCCGGCCAAACACGTCCTCCATCCCCTCGAAGTCACCTGCCACAAGCCCCCAAACGTTCAGCTTCCCTTGGTAAACCTGCTTCCTTTCAAGTGCCTTGGACATTATTCTTGGGGAAGCCGTCCATCCATTCCATTCCCGCAAAATGCCGCCTTAGCTAGACCATTTCCCCCTTTTTTATAGGGGCCATTTCTCTGGTCCCGGCTACAAACGGTGCCCTCCAGAAAAACCACGGCCAAAGTCCTTTGGGTTGCTTCAAAAAAGGGGAAGGCACATATTGTGGGGTCCCTGAATACAAACCCTTCCGGCGGGCTCGCCCTGGTTGCCTCACATATGGAACCACACATGTACAGACACAGTAGCCATGATCAGCACGTAAGCCTTACATACCTGGGGATCCCGTCCCAGACATGGCCTTACTAAAAGCGGAAGGGACCTGCCAAGAACACCCCGTTTGTAAGCTTAATACCCCAAAATCATCAAAACGGATTGGCTTTTCCCCAGGGTCGACTTCCTCTCCTCTCCCCCCCCCATCAACCAATGTTCAACCCAGAAGTCTGGTGGAAAACGATGCAAACCACACACAGAAGAAAAAACAAGAAAAAAAGAAAGAACAACACCGTGCCGCTTGACTTAGGATGTTTTTGTTTCCTCCTCCGCGAAAACAATGCTGGGCTCTTTGGCTCCACTCGCCCATGGCTCCACTCGCCAGGCTGTTGTCCGTTTCGCTTCCCTGTAGCAGGAGGGTACCGAGCCTAAGCAGAACACAGCCCCTCTATCTAATTCCTCAGGGCCTCACATGGCCCTGCATCGGGCTATCCACCGTGTTTTTGTTTGTGTTTTGGGGGGTTCCCTTTTCCGCCTTGTTTCTTTTGCGGTTTCTTTGGCCTTGCGGTTTCGTTGGCCTAGGCGCCGCGAAAGAACCCATAGTCCGCTCCGCCTTTCACAATGAGTCATTCGGTCGCCCCATGGGCTCCCGAGTGATTTGGAGCATGTTCAACTGGCTGTGGGCCAAAACTACGCCCCGCCTTCCAGGCCCTGCACGGCCACCTCCTCCCTCAGCGCCACCACCCAGCCCTGCAGCGCGGCGTCATTCGCCCCTTGGACCAGCGAGTAGGAGAAGAGGTCCTGGCCCCCCAAGGCCCCCGCGACCCGAAGAAAAAAAACATGAAGCAAGGCGGGAGTATTTTATTATTATTTTTACTGGGACCCTTTTTCCTGGACATCATTTAGGGATTCATGTCCAACAGTCACTGTTCAGGTGAATCCCTATTAAAATTCATGGCCATGTTTTTCCTCAGTTCCATGATCAGGTTTTGCAGGTGAACAAGAATCCACCAAGCTGCACGTGCCCGTTTTTTTAGAAACAACAAGAGATAAACCGGAAATTTTTGTGTGGTGCTCCATTTGGAAGGGAACATGCTCAAAATAACTCAACCCCGAAGCCCTAACCCATCGCATCTGGGAAATGATCTGCATGGTTGTGGGTACAGTGGGTATGGTCACTTGGCTTTTTCCCAGCTTCACAAGTTAATCTTAGACTCCCGAAAGAGCTCCTATGGTCTATAGTTGTCCAACCCCCTGCCCCCGCCCAGGCCCTGATAGAGGAGTTTGTGGAGTTGTCCAACCCCCTACCCCCAGCTGTCCAAAAAGATGTGTTCCTTAGGCCCTGATTGAGTTTGTTTGAGCCTAACCTGTATCTTTCACCAACCACCCCTTCCGCCTTTGGACAACCACCACAGCGCTGAATGACAAACCACGAAAACAATCCAGTTGCCCCATCGCCCTAGACACGGGATCCTGGGGTCGATTCAGCAAACAAAAAGATCTTTGGGCGGAATCCCCGCTGCGCACATGCCTTAAGATGGCATGCCCTGCCTGGCGGAACACCACCAGCGTCTCCTTGCGCCTTGGCTGCTGACTTGAAAGCAAAGGGAAGGTGACCACAAAGGGGTGCTGGGGGGTTGCCTTGTTTTAGTGAGAAGCTCATGGCTTGCACGAAACAAACGCCCCGACATGGAGGGCCTCGGTCAAGGGACAAAAATCCGCGACCTTCGAACCCGGGCTCGTAATAGCGGCCCTTTTTGAAATCCTGTCATCGTGTGCGGCGCAGAAAAAGGGATCACCAGCTTCTCAATCTCTGACACTCATGTTCCTGCTGGCCTCCCGCCCCACCGAACCAGCGAGGACAATCCCTTGACAAAGTTCAGACATTCAACAGCGCCCAAAGAAAAACGCAGCCTGCCCAGAGACCCTGACAAACCAACGCGAACATGGTCTCGGGAAAACATCAACCCAAACCCAAACACCCAAAGGCAAAACCAGCTCGCTGGGGCTCATCCATGCAGGAACCCCTGCATCCCCCTGGTCGCTCCGTGTATTGCAAGCCTCTTGCCCACCCCAAATCCCGGGCAAGAGGCAGTGGCACCACGGTGGCTGACTTGCTGCCCTGGGGGAACAGCTCCAAAGTGCCACTGGAGGAGAGCACATAGAGCACAGATAGGCGCCGGGACTGCAGAAAGCCCAAATACCTTGCGATTCAGGTGGGGGAGTCGCTCGAAAACCCGTGGGAATTTAGGGGAACGCCAGTTGCGAGTTCCTGTTTTGTGCATGTAATGCATATACCATTCAGCGTTGACGTGTATGATACCATGTGTTGCTTGCGATTGCTAGCGACCGGCCAGCCGTTAAAGCTCGGGAAGGCCCTTTGGTGTACAAATGCTCAAGGTGAACCAAAAGGAACCCAACCATTTTACGGGGCTCTGGGTTGGCTTCAATTGATTCGTACGCGCCAACAGCCAGACTGGACTGGCGTGCTACGTATTTGCAGAAAATGAACCCGTATGAGCAGGGCCGGCAGTTTATTTCGTTGCGGTCTGATTGTTTGCCCGCCCTTGGCTAGTTTGCATTCCAACTTGGAAGAACCCAATCATGTCCACCCCAGCCACAATTTCTCCCACCTTTTCACCAAGTACCCCCCCCCCCAACAAAAAACACGGCCACCACCCCACGGAAACCCCACTGCAAATTCTACAATTCCAAAACGGATCCCCAAGTTTCAAGGGACCTCTACCACGGCTTTCGCTCGCTCCATACCCTCCGAGCCCCTCGGACCGCTCGCCCAGCGGCTGCTCCACGAGGCCTCGGTCCACCTCCTCCTCCGTCAAGGGCCCCGGGCTCAGCGTGCGCCGCTCCGAGCGCGCCAGGGGCTCCCGCAGCAGCCGCTGCTGCAGCCCCGGCAGGGCACGGAAGCCCAGCGGCTCGCCTCCGGCGACTCGATGGGGTCTTTCTGTTGAGCCGACGTCCAACCCTTGGAACGAGGTGAAGCTTTTTTTTTTTGGGGGGGGGGGGGGTTTGGGGGGGCACAGAACATGATAAGAGAACCAAAACTGAACATGTTGAAAAAACATTTGCCAATAGTGAAGCTAACCCTCCTTGGTTTGGGGATTTGAAGCCCTCGACTACAAAAAGGTAGATGGGCTTGCCCACCCTCTCCCCTTGGTGTGGGGATTTGCCACCCTTGTAGAGGATGGGAGGCCACCCCGAACGTATACCAATCCCAACTACCAATCAGACGGACGCGGAAGGCTGGTAAAAGTGTTCACCCGGCCCAAGTGTCAGCTTTGCGTGGCTTGGACCTTGCAAGGTACCTTTCCCAGTAGGTGTCAACAAGAGCCGGGGGTTCAAACCCCCAAACCAGCAATCCAAACATATCCAAACCGCCAACACGAAAAAGAGACCCAGCCCTCACAACAATGGGCCATCCTTGGTTGAGGGCACCATGTTTGAGGTTCAAAAGAGGGAAACCACATGACCCTATGCATGGAACCTGAAGGGAACCTCCAAACGCCAGTTTCCTCTAAGGGCTTTGTTGCTCAGGTTCCAGATCTGGGGAGAGAACCAATCTAACGGAGGGAAATGAAAAAAGAGGGGCAACCAAAGCTCTAAGGATTGTGCTTTGTTGATTTAGATGTTGACACCAAGGATGGCAGGACCGAATCCCAGTCCCTTTCAACAGAAAACCCAAACCCAGTCATCAGCGACGCGGTTTGACATAGACAAGGATTTGTAGCCGTACGTTTTTTTTGGTGGGATGGTTTTATTTAGGGCGCCACCAAACTAAGCTTTAACCATGTTTGAACAAAGAATGGGCGGTTAGTTGTGGAAACAAAGCCACAAAAAGTGCATAACTATTCTGAATATTCCGAAGGCTTGGTGAGGGGAGGCTCCGGTGTCCTGAAGGGACCCGTTTTCCCAAAAAGGTGTTCTCGGCCTTTTGGACTCCGAAATCGGACAATGACTTGGCCCCGACGCTCGGGATACCAAAGTGGTTGATTCCTATGGCTTCATTGTCACTTTGAAGGGGAACCAAATTCCCCGAGGGTATCGCAGAAAGTGCGGGGAAAACTAATGAAACTACGCGACCATCAGCTAAAGCTATTGTCGGCGGCGCAAGCGCGCGCAATGGTCGGTGTACACCATCTGCGCACAATCTGCCAGTTTGATGAATCGAAAGAGATTGCAAAAGAAAGCATTGCAAGTTGGAACTAGGCAGTTCAAATAATTGGCTGCCCAACCGTACTCCATACCCCCTATTGGGAAACCACTGCGAGAAACAGGGAAACACGAACACCAAAACTAGCTGTGGAAAACTAAATGTTGCTCTTGACAGGTTTGCCTACAGATGTGCATTGCCCTCTTGAGGGATTTTTGTTCTGCTGCCCTGAACTTACCAGGTCCAAAGTCAGCCCGGCGATTGGATTGGACGAAAACATATCCAAACACATTCCACTCAATGGTTCCCTTAACGGATACATCTAATTAGGCGACTCCGAAGCTCCGAAGATCACCCAAACACCAGCTGATTCAGACAATCCTGCTGCAAAGCAGGTGGTTTGTGTTCCATCCCTTAAGCCAGCTCAAGGGGTCCCAGGGTCCGAAACCCAATTTCGCGCTTCCAACGCAGGTCCGGTGAAACCACCGCGTCTCAGCATCCGCGGCCGCGCGCGCCTAGGGCGGCCCCCAGCGCATCGCCAAGCGCCTCCATGCGCGCCAGACAGCTGGCCAAAGGCTCCTGGGCCTCTCCTGCTGGGAGTTTGAGGGCGCATGAAACTGGTGTCTGACAATCCATGGGGGACCACCAACATCCAGCATAGGAGACCACCCCAAAACAAAAAGATGGTTTGTGTTTCTTGTTGGCTTCCATTTCAAAACCAGAAACGGGTACTAACTCCGACAAAGAGACACGCCTATTGCTTCAACAACCTCCTTTTGTTTCCCCAAAGATGGTCAAAGTCTGGTTGTTTCAGCATATCTTGCCCAACCCTGCTATACACATGCGGGGATGCCATGTCTGTTCATTGGAACCTCCGGTTTTTCCATGACCACCCACGAGGCCCGGCCTAGGAAGGCGCATTTGCTGCGCGAACGCCGGCCCAGAAGCCCTTCTTCCAGCCTGCAGCAAAGGGCTGGAGGGCAGCGCCGGGAGACTCAACCCGTGGCTTTTGCTCGTGGCGGTGTACCCTCAGCCTTCTAAAATGCGAATCCTCGCTTCCTGAGTGGCCAAGAAAAGCTAAAACTTTGTGTTTGAAAAAGTATGAAGTCCAGGAACTCAGGAAGTGAGCAACTCTACAACGCGAACCTGTGCTCGGCACCATGGGCAAATGGCAAAGATGTAGGTTACTTAAGAGACTTAAGAGGAAACGTGACCGATCACGGACCCAATTCCAGGAACCCCACAAGGACCAACATCATGGGACTCGCCTGTTTTGTCATCGATGCCGCGCCGAGCCCTGCAATCCAAACAACTCACGCCGCACCCCCCCCCCACCCCAAATGTCCCGGAAAAAGACGGGTGCTTGACACAAAGCCAGTTGGCCGCCGCAGCGGAATGCACAACGCAGCCAAGATTCTCCAGGTGCGGAAGTGCAAAGCTGGAGATCCCACGAGCATTCTCCTGAAGAGCCCACTGATCAACCAACACCTGTTACTTGTGATGCCAAACATGGCTGATGGCTGTAGGTGTTGCAGAATGAAGCACTTTTCACAAGGGCCTCTGCTTTGTTCGTGTCATCATCACCCCCCAAAAAAAAAACCTTTCAACTGGCCACAAAGGTAATGTTTGAAGGTTAAATTCTGAAATTTCCTCCAGGGCCCAACCTGCAATTGATCCTTTGGCCCTGGCTGTACCATGGGGGGACCATGCGATTCATGGGAAATGCAATAAGCAAAGGCCGGCCACGAAAAGGGATCCTGACAAGTTAATTGCCACCCCAACCTCTTCCGCCAGCATCTTGGCAAATCGCTTGAATTTCCATTCCCCGAAAAAGAGAAATGCCAAAAGAAAAGTGCCTTCTGGTTAAGGACCGTGCCGGCTGCACCCTCGCACGAAACCCGCAAATCTGAGGCAAAAGGAAGGACCCCCCCTCGTGGGGGTGCCCACACACAGGGACCCCAAAATTTGCCGTCTTGCTTTTGCCGTTTTGCTGCACCAAGGTAAAAAGGTCTCACAAAAGACATACGCTTGCCAGGTCTCCAGCACCAGCTCGGGCTGCTCCAGTGGTGCAGATATGGAGCAGAAGCCCTTCTCCAGAACCTCCTCCGCCACCTGAAGCAAATCCGATTGCACCGGACTCCCCAAGTGGGACTATTGGGGACCCGTAGTTACCCAGTGACCCTAAAACCAGAGGCCATCCTTTGTCCTGACCCTGTTAAACGGGGATCCCACCAAGGTCGCTGAACGGGGGAGGAGCTACATTCATACCTTTTGAGAATCTCCGGGGTAGATCCTTTGCGCTAAAACGCCAAAGGAAACCCAACCCGCTTTCGACCCGGGCTTGGATTTGCTGTTCATCCTGAGGCCCGCGGGTCGTTGCATGGCCCGGAAGCTCGTTGAGGGCGCGGCGTGTGTACATCTTACACCTCTTACCCATAAATAGGGGAGTAAAACAATGCAGAAGGGACAAATACTCTTGGCTCACGACTTTATCTCCTTGAATATCAATCCAATGAAACGTCGAGGTGTTGATGCACTCCGACTGTCAGGACACAAATCTGGGGTTCGTGTTGCCGTGTATGCCGAAAGCAACGCAAGCAAGCCCTTACTGTTGTGAGCTGCATCTGCTCAATTCTATCTGCAGCCTCGCTTTGGACAAGCCTTGCCCTAGTGGGCTTGGAGGCCATGCTAGACGCAAAAAACATCAAGAGCCAACTTGAGAACCTTCAGCTTCCAGTCACTGGATGCATGGGAGTCCGGCGTCTTGTCAATTTTGGTGGGAGGCCAACCGGACATATTGGCGACGCAAGTTGGCCCCCCGGCCTGAGCAGTAAAGTCAGGCGACAGCTCGGGCGGCCAAACCAACTCCATGGATCTTTGTCTGTCCGGCTCAGGTTTCCATTAAGGCCTGCCGGCCAACAAACACCACAAGTCACTTGTCGCATTTACAGATACGGAGCTATGGGAGGCTGGGAGGCTGGTGAACATGTGCAGCAGCTAGCTAGTTGGGTGCTTTGCTGTGCCCGGCTGATATCCATACGCGCCGGCTGAGCTGAGCCACATGAAGCTGGCGAATGGCCAAGCACCTGTTACAAAAACTGCGGCCGTCCTATCAAACGTGTTGTTGGCATTATGGTGCCCCTTTGATGAGATAAGACCAATTTGCGTGCGATGAACACCTACCACAGGCTCAATGAGTTGGAAAGACCGCTTGCACATCGACCGAAAACATCAATTGCTAAGCTTTGACCAGTTCCCCCTTGTTCGAAGAACTCCTTCGGCACGGCTTGTCACTTCAGACAACCAACAGCCGCAATGGCAGTGCTTTTCCATACGGGTGCCTGTAAGGGCAAACTACCTGCAACCCACGAACAGTTGGCATCAACATCGTTGCCTGCGTCTGGTCTGCACATGCCTTTGAGAATCCAACCCTTGGCTCGATGTGGTCGGCTCAGAGCATCACATACTGACCTGTATGCTAACCAGCCCCTTCAAAGTGAGACACTGGCAACCTCCCGACTTCAAAACACATATGGGGGCTTCCTGGTCCCAAATGACTAGGAGCTTTTCTTCTTTCATGGTTGAAGGTCAAATCTGTCTGGTTGTTTCCCTGCTCAATCTGCCCAAACCTTCCTGGACCAACCCCCGTGTGTTCCCACGGCCCGTCCTGGTGCAGCTTCTCTTCTAAGGCTCTGCTCGTGGCCTCCGCCTGGGATTGTCTCAAAAATTGTGCAGTCCCATAGGCTACCCTTCCCCCAACTATCATAGTACCTGTGGGGAGGTACCTGGAAGATGAGTTTCCTTTTGAAGGAACCCCTCGGCTGGTTGCCACGTTGGTGGGAGGGAAGGTAGATAAAACGAGCCTCTCTTGCTCGCTCTCTTTCTTCAAGTTTTTCTTGGTTGGTGGTTTGGGTTGGTGGTTTTGTCGGCTAAAGGGGTGGCTTCCCATTTGCCCTCTCAAGATCCAGCGTTCAAATCCTAAGGCGTAGGTGATCTCTCTCTCTCTCTCTCTCTCGCATGGGATGAACAAACAACAACCGATGTTAAATCATGGGCCAAACGCTGAACCCTGCACTGTGAGATTCCAATCTTGATTTGAAGCCAAAGGGTTATGGCAATTTACGGTCCTAGCTCCGAATTATCGCTATTATTCACTCACAGTCACCGTTGGTTTTCAATGGCTTCCCCATGGCTCTGAATCAGTGTAGCAATTAATCATGGAAATGCTATAGACCCTCCAAATTAGCATGGAACCATGTCAATTGGTAGGAGGGTATATAAGTACAAATACATATATATATATATATACCCGCCGACAACAGACGGCATGTTGGACATAAGTTTACCTGTTACCCCTCCCCTAACCCCTCCCCAGGGGCAGCATTTCAGACTATTGCGGGGGGGTCCACGTACCACGCGGTGATCTGTTCATTGTGCGGGCTTGCGCACCTCAGTTTGTGAAAAACATTGGGGTGTTCGATTCCCCCCGGGTGCGCTGTCGCATCCTTAGCAGCTCCAGCGGCACATCGCCAGCACTACCTGCATCATCCGCATCAGCGCCTGCCAAGGATGCGGATGATGCAAGTGATGCTGGGGATGTTGCCCATGCTGGTGAAGGAATTGGAGGGGGGAAGGGGGAAAGGATCTCAACAGCGAAAGGGGGGGAAAGATCTCAGGGAGGAAAGGGAGAAGATCTGGGGAAAAAATGCCTTAAGGGGGAAAGGGGGGAAAAGATCTTTGGGAGGAAAAGGGAAATCTTTCTCGGGGGGAACAGGCCCTAAGGGGCAATGGGGGGACAGGATCTCAAACGGGAAAGGGGGAAAAAGACTTTGGGAAGAGAAGGGTGGAGATCTTGGGGGGAAAAGGCCTTAGGGGGGAAACGGGGGAAAGGATCTTAAGCGGGAAAGGGGGGAAAAGATCTTAGGGAGGCAAAGGGAGACGAACTCAGGGAAAAGGACTTAGGGAGGAAAGGGGGGGAAAGATCTTTGGGAGGAAAAGGGAGAAGAACTGAGGGTGGGAAAAGGCCTTAGAAGGAAAAGGGGGGAAATAAATGATCTCAACAGGGAACTGGGGGGGGGAAAGATCTTAGGGAGGAAAGGCAGAAGATCTGGGGCAAAAAGGCCTTAGGGGGGAAAGGGGAGAAATGATCTCAACAGGGAAAGGGGTGGAAAAGATCTTAGGGAGGAAAGGGAGAAGATCTGGGGAAAAAAGGCCAACAGGGAAAGGGGGGAAAAGATCTTAGGAAGGAAAAGGGAGAAGCTCTCAGGGGGGGAAAGGCCTTGGGAGGGAAAGGGGGGAAAGGATCTCAACAGGGAAAGGGTGGGAAAGATCTTAGGGAGGAAAGGGGGGGGGGGGAAGATCTTAGGGAGGAAAGACTTAGGGGGGAAAGCCCAACAGGGAAAGGGGGGAAAAGATTTAGGAAAAGGGAGAAGCTCTCAGGGGGGGGAAAGGCCTTAGGGGGAAAAGGATCTCAGCAGGGAAAGGGGGGGGGGGGAAAGATCTTAGGGAGGAAAGGGAGAAGATCTGGGGACAAAGGCCTTAGGGGGGAAAGGGGAGAAATGATCTCAACAGGGAAAGGGGTGGAAAAGATCTTAGGGAGGAAAGGGAGAAGATCTGGGGGAAAAAAGGCCAACAGGGAAAGGGGGGAAAGATCTAAGGAAGGAAAAGGGAGAAGCTCTCAGGGGGGGGGAAAGGCCTGAGGGGGGAAAGGGTGGGAAGGATCTCAACAGGGAAAGGGGGGAAACAATCTTAGGAAGGCAAAGGGAGAAGATCTGGAAAGGCCTTAAAGGGAAGGGGGGAAAGGATCTCAACAGGGAAAGGGGGCAAAGGATCTTAAGGAGGAATAGGGAGAAGATCCCAGCGGGGGGAAAGGCCGTAGGGGGGAAAGGGGGGAAAGGATCTCAACAGGGAAAGGGGGGGAAAGATCTCAGTGAGGAAAGGGAGAAGGTCCCAGGCAGGGAAAAGGCCTTAGGGGGCAAGGGGGAAAGGATCTCAACAGGGAAAGGGGGCAAAGGATCTTAGGGAGGAAAAGGGAGAAAATCTGAAAAGGCCTTAGGGGGAAAAGGGGGAAATGAGCTCAACAGGGAAAGGTGGGAGAAGATCCTACGAAAAAAAGGGAGAAGATCTCGGGGGGAAAGGGGGAAAGGATCTCAACCAAGGGAAAAGATCTTGGGGAGGACAAGGGAGAAGATCTCAGGGGGGGAAAGGCCTTAGGGGGGAAAGGGGGGAAAGGATCTCAACAGGGAAAGGGGGCAAAGGATCTTAGGGAGGAAAAGGGAGAAGATCTTGGGGGGGAAAACGCCTTAGGGGGGAAAGGGCGGGAAAGGATCTCAACAAGGAAAGGGGGGAAAAGATCTTAGGAAGGAAAAGGGGGAAGATCGCGGGGGGAAAAAAGGCCTTAGGGGGGAAAGGAGGGAAAGGATCTCAACAGGGAGAGGGGGGAAAACATCGTAGGGAGGAAAAGGGAAAAACTCAGAGGGAGAAAGGGCCTTAGGGGGGAAAGGGGGAATGGATCTCAACAGGGAAAAATGGCAAAAGATCTTAGGGAGGAAAAGGGAGAAGATCTCAGGGGGGGAAAGGCCTTAGGGGGGAAAGGGGGGAAAGGATCTGAGCAGGGAAAGGGGGGGAAAGATCTTAGGGAGGAAAGGAAAAAGATCTGGGGGCAAAGGCCTTAGGGGGGAAAGGGGAGAAATGATCTCAACAGGGAAAGGGGTGGAAAAGATCTTAGGGGGGAAAAAAGGCCAACAGGGACAGGGGAAAGGCCTTAAAGGGAAGAAGGGAAAGGATCTCAACGGGGAAAGGAGGCAAAGGATCTTAAGGAGGCATAGGGAGAAGACCTCAGCGGGGGGAAAGGCCTTAGGAAGGAAAGGAGGGAAAGGATCTCAACAGGGAAAGGGGGGGAAAGATCTTAGTGAGGAAAGGGAGAAGATCCCAGGCAGGGAAAAGGCCTTAAAAGGCCTTAGGGGGGAAAGGAGGAAAGGATCTCAACAGGGAAAGGGAACAAAGGATCTTCGGGAGGAAAAGAGAGAAGATCTGAAAAGGCCTTAGGGGGAAAAGGGGGAAAGGAGCTCAACAGGGAAAGGTGGGAGAGGATCCTAGGGAGGAAAAGGGAGAAGATCTTGGGGGGAAAGGGGGAAAGGATCTCAACAAGGGAAAAGATCTTGGGGAGGACAAGGGAGAAGATCTCGGGGGGGAAAGGCCTTAGGGGGGAAAGAGGGGAAAGGACCTCAACAGGGAAAGGGGGCAAAGGATCTTAGGGAGGAAAAGGGAGAAGATCTTGGGGGGGGCGGGAAAGGATCTCAACAAGGAAAGGGGGGAAAAGATCTTAGGAAGGAAAAGGGGGAAGATCGCGGGGGGAAAAAAGGCCTTAGGGGGGAAAGGATGGAAAGGATCTCAACAGGGAGAGGTGGGAAAACATCGTAGGGAGGAAAAGGGAAAAGCTCAGAGGGAGAAAGGGCCTTAGGGGGGAAAGGGGGAATGGATCTCAACAGGGAAAGGTGGCAAAAGATCTTAGGGAGGAAAAGGGAGATCTCAGGGGGGGAAAGGCCTTAGGGGGGAAAGGGGGGAAAGGATCTGAGCAGGGAAAGGGGGGGAAAGGGGAGAAATGATCTCAACAGGGAAAGGGTTGGAAAAGATCTTAGGGAGGAAAGGGAGAAGATCTGGGGGAAAAAAGGCCAACAGGGAAAGGGGGGAAAGATCTTCGGAAGCAAAAGGGAGAAGCTCTCAGGGGGGGGGAAAGGCCTTAGGGGGGAAAGGGGGAAAAGGATCTCAGCAGGGAAAGGGGGGGGGGGGGAGATCTTAGGGAGGAAAGGGAGAAGATCTGGGGACACAGGCCTTAGAGGGGAAAGGGGAGAAATGATCTCAACAGGGAAGGGGTGGAAAAGATCTTAGGGAGGAAAGGGAGAAGATCTGGGGGAAAAAGGGCCAACAGGGAAAGGGAAAAAAATCTAAGGAAGGAAAAGGGAGAAGCTCTCAGGGGGGAAAGGCCTTAGGCGGGAAAGGGTGGGAAGGATCTCAACAGGGAAAGGGGGGAAACAATCTTAGGAAGGAAAAGGGAAAAGATCTGGAAAGGCCTTAAAGGGAAGAAGGGAAAGGATCTCAACGGGGAAAGGAGGCAAAGGATCTTAAGGAGGAATAGGGAGAAGATCTCAGCGGGGGGAAAGGCCTTAGGAAGGAAAGGAGGGAAAGGATCTCAACAGGGAAAGGGGGGGAAAGATCTCAGTGAGGAAAGGGAGAAGATCCCAGGCAGGGAAAAGGCCTTAGGGGGGAAAGGGGGAAAGGATCTCAACAGGGAAAGGGGGCAAAGGATCTTCGGGAGGAAAAGGGAGAAGATCTGAAAAGGCCTTAGGGGGAAAAGGGGGAAAGGAGCTCAACAGGGAAAGGTGGGAGAGGATCCTAGAAAGGGGGAAAGGGGGAAAGGATCTCTACCAAGGGAAAAGATCTTGGGGAGGACAAGGGAGAAGATCTCAGGGGGGAAAGGCCTTAGGGGGGAAAGAGGGGAAAGGACCTCAACAGGGAAAGGGGGCAAAGGATCTTAGGGAGGAAAAGGGAGAAGATCTTGGGCGGGAAAGCGCCTTAAAAAAGAACGGGCGGGAAAGGATCTCAACAAGGAAAGGGGGGAAAAGATCTTAGGAAGGAAAAGGGGGAAGATCGCGGGGGGAGAAAAGGCCTTAGGGGGGAAAGGAGGGAAAGGATCTCAACAGGGGGAAACATCGTAGGGAGGAAAAGGGAAAAACTCAGAGGGAGAAAGGGCCTTAGGGGGGAAAGGGGGAATGGATCTCAACAGGGAAAAATGGCAAAAGATCTTAGGGAGGAAAAGGGAGAAGATCTCAGGGGGGGAAAGGCCTTAGGGGGGAAAGGGGGGAAAGGATCTGAGCAGGGAAAGGGGGGGAAAGATCTTAGGGAGGAAAGGGAGAAGATCTGGGGGCAAAGGCCTTAGGGGGGAAAGGGGAGAAATGATCTCAACAGGGAAAGGGGTGGAAAAGATCTTAGGGAGGAAAGGGAGAAGATCTGGGGGAAAAAAGGCCAACAGGGAAAGGGGGGAAAGATCTAAGGAAGGAAAAGGGAGAAGCTCTCAGGGGGGGGAAAGGCCTGAGGGGGAAAGGGTGGGAAGGATCTCAACACGGAAAGGGGGGAAACAATCTTAGGAAGGAAAAGGGAGAAGATCTGGAAAGGCCTTAAAGGGAAGGGGGGAAAGGATCTTAAGGAGGAATAGGGAGAAGATCTCAGCGGGGGGAAAGGCCGTAGGGGGGAAAGGGGGGAAAGGATCTCAACAGGGAAAGGGGGGGAAAGATCTCAGGGAGGAAAGGAAAAAGATCCCAGGGAGGAAAAGGCCGTAGGGGGGAAAGTGGGGGAAAGGGAGGAAAAGGGAGAAGATCTCAGGGGGGAAAAGGCCTTAGGGGGGAAAGGGGGGAAAGGATCTCAACAGGGAGAGGGGGGAAAACATCTTAGGGAGGAAAAGGGAAAAAATCAGAGGGAGAAAAGGCCTTAGGGAGGAAAAGGGAAAAAATCAGAGGGAGAAAAGGCCTTAGGGCGGAAAGGGTGAATGGATCTCAACAAAGAAAGGGGGGCAAAAATCTCAGAGGGGAAGGGGGCAAGGGGACAATTCCACAGGGACGCAAATAAGAAAGCAGCCTGTAATGTCGGCGGCCTGAGCCGGAGGCACTAAAATACATGTATAAACAAAAATCGACTCTCGGCTCCGCGCCAGCTCAGCACGGCGCTCCAGCGCCACGCAAGCGCTCTCGGCCTCCCGCAGCCTGATTGGATGCAACCTGTTTGGGTCCAAGGTATGGGTGTGTCTTTCTTTGAGGGTCCCTGTTTCGGGCGGTTAAAGGAAATCAAGAGGAAACCCACCCCGAAAAAAAATCCGCCCTTGAAGACACACCCAAATGGGTTCCTCTCAGATTTTGCGCATGGTGCAAGCTGGGGCTCGTTTATTCGAAGCGGAGGAAACATGCCTCGTGCCCCGCGATGAAATAGGCCATCACCCACCACCACTATATCACTTTGAAGCTGGCAAAAGCCCAAGAATCGGCTCCTGGAGGGGCCCGTTTTGGGCGACACTGGCATTCATGGTTGGATGAAATACACCTTTGGATGACACATTCTGTGATGCCAAAGGAAGTGGAGATCCTCATGACTGCACCCTAGAATGCTTTTGCTCATCCAAGGTTGCAACCCTTCCCCCCCCTCCCCGCAGCACCTTCAGAGGTGGCGAGGGTCCAAAACGGGGCCTATAAGTTTTACTGCCTGACGCTTGATCATATCACGCGAGCGAGCGTCTGGAAAACAATGCCTCAGCCGAGGGTTGACAAAATGGGCTCGAACCACCACAGCGTAGCCCTCTTTGAATGGGCACCAACACGAGCCACCATGCCCATATTGGACATGGGAAAGGTCTTGGTTGATGTGGGAAATTGAATGGGGTCCTGTCCCGTTCAAATAGAACTCAGATGGCACATACACACCTTCCCAACAGGTGAAAGGTTAGGATAGGATCCAACCAAATAGCATCCAATAGACTTCGAATAGCAGTAGCTTCATTTTTATGACCAGTTGGCAGAACCGATGGCCGAACACTCCCAAGGCCGAATGCGCTCCGTAGAACTCATGGCCATTTATGAGGCCCGAAAGTTGGTTCCATGTACAGGCCCTGTGCTTCAGCAGTAAAAAATGGCTAGTAAACCCAATAACCACAAATCGCTAGGTTCATAAGTGGCTCGAAACATTCAGTCGCTCATCCATGCAAAATGCGCAAGCATTGAAGAATTACAGCGGGGAATCAGCGGGGAAATCGTTGGCGAGAACCCTTCTGAACATTAACAAAACAACAAAACAAGCACACACACACACACACACACTACTAGGGCAATCTCCTTTTTGGGCACCGCCTGGTGGGGGCGGGGTTCCAGTTTGATTTCCAGGGGGTCTATTCTACACATGGGATGGGTTCTTCCCAGAAGGGGGAGCATAAAATGGGTAACTTCCCCTTGCCCCAACAAGGAAACCATCAAAAAACGGATCAAGAGCTTGCAGGTGCACAATTGTCGATGTACCTGCCTCTCTTGCGTGGGTGAGCCCTCGACGTGATTCTCAGTCCTTGGTATTCGCGGTTTGTAAGGCTAAACCTGTCCTCGGGGTCCAATGCGGCGTCTGTATAAGATATACATAGTATTCACATTATGTACACTTACAATAATTGCACATATGCATATATTTTTATATGTGCTTTGGTGTCTATATAATGACATCATATTTATCCATATGTGAATGCGAGAGCGTGGGGAATATTGTTGACCATGCATGTGGCTTGGCGAGGCAGGGCCGGGCAGGGTTCCCTTCAGTTTCTCTAATCATCACCCCCCGGTTGATGCGCGTTCGCGCGCACACACGCGCACACACACACACACACACGCCCCTCTCTCTCTCACACACACACACCCACATGCACGCACTCACGCATGCGCTTGTACACACCGGCAGAGCCGCACCCGTACACACACACACAAGTACATATATATATATATATATTTATGTATATATATATATATGTGGATAAAAATTCACATCTTTCTACATCATAGATAGACACATTCATGAGCACCGGGCAAGAATATTGAAGTCTTATCTTGTATCGGTTTTGGGTACCTCGGAATCATGGAAGGGGTGTCATCAGGCAGGAAGACATTCCCAAACGTTGCAAGCCGCCCTTTCATCAAGCAAGTCTGAAGTGACAGGATTCCGCAGGCCAAACCCAAGTCATGTTCTGCATTGGCACCGCCTGCTTCCTCGGAAATGAAACCCACGGAAGTGCAGGCAGATTTCGTTGTGTTTTGCCTAGAGCACCGAGAAGCGCTGTCTAGCTCCAAGGACCCGCGAGCATCAAACAGTCTCAGCCCAAAGCAATTTTCTCCCTAACCTGGGTAACACACCCTTGAACAACCCGAGTCGCCCATTTCGAACTCGCACGAAGGACATGATGAAACAGTCGTTAATCGTCGTTCATCCCTCTCACCTAAATGGGGATACGGCAGCCTTTTGCCACCGCGCGCTCGGGTGAAACTGTTCGCAACCTCCAAAGACTGATCTGTTCATTTGTGCGTCCCATTTCCAACCCATGAGGGCCAAAGTAAAAAAACATCGCGGGCGTTCCCAGCTGAAATTATCTCTCTCTCTCTCTCTGCCGTTGCATCCAGAGGGTCTTGACTCAGCAAGGCAACGAAAAAGGCGCCCACCGATGTTCAGGGGCACCTACAACATACTAGGACAACCCGGGCAGACATCAAGTAGGATCTACAAGGACCCACCAGAAATTGGATGTTAGTATTTGTTTGACCCCTTTCCTACTGGGACCGTGGTGAGTGTAACCAGTGCCCTGTTTTTGCGCCCATGCCCTGGCCCCCCCACCATGTCTCACAATGTGGACCTCCTTGTTGGTTGTTCTTTTAAGCGAAACTACGAGGAAGCCTCAGTTCCTTAGAGGCGACCGCTTCCCGTTTGACGGATCCTCAACTGAGGCCTTGCAGATCTCTCTCTCAGCGCCGGCGTGCCATGGACCCCCTGGCGCATGGCGAAAACGTGCTCGAGTTGTTCGGGTCCCCGGGAGCTTCATGAGAAACAACCCAAGCGAGGCCCCAGAATTTTCAGGAGGTCCCCCAAAGCGCAAGCTGGCACCCGAACCCACACCCAGACCCAGATCCACAACACCCACACACGCACAAGCAAATACACAGACAAACTAACTAACAAGACAAATAAGCAAACACACACACACACACACACAAACACCTGCAACTTCATCTGGCTGCCTGCCTCTTCTTGGCCTTCTTGCCGTAGGTCCTGTCTTTGCCTTTCGAGGGCTTCTTGGCTTCTGCTTCCTTGCCGTCTTTGCCCTTGAGATTTGACTTCAGGACGCTCTTCTTACCTCATGGAGGGCCGGACATGGTGCGACTAGGGTTCCACCCAGCTACAGGCCGAGAAGTTTGCAGCCTGTGCTACCGCCACGTATCCCAACCACAAGTAGAGCAAGTCCCAGTGAGAAAACAAGATTGTGTCATGAAGCAGGGTTGCATGCAGGACGTTGAGTTACTCGCCCAGGCATGGGGACCAAGAAGGACATCCACGCATGCTGGGTTGATTTTGTTACCTCTGTCATGCCCCAACCTGAAGGCTTTGTTGTGTATCTGTTGATTCTGCCGCCAAACCCGGCCAAGACCAATGCAAATGCCCGGAACTAACTGGGCCAGTGCGGACGAAGCTGCCGGGCTTGCCTCGTTTTGCCTTGCCGGCCTTGGCCTTGCCAGGCGCGACATCCCCATCAAGGTCGGTGCTCTTCTTGTCTGCCTGCCCAGGGCGGATGGGTGGGTTGGTGGGTTGGTGGGTTGGTGGGTTGGTGGGTTGGTGGGTTGGTGGGTTGGTGGGTTGGTGGGTTGGTGGGTTGGTGGTGGTAGGTTGCTAGGTTGGCAGGTTGGCAGGTTGGCAGGTTGGCAGGTTGGCAGGTTGGCAGGTTGGCAGGTTGGTAGGTTGGTACGTTGGTAGGTAGGTTGGTAGGTAGGTAGGTCGATTGCTTGGTTGGTTGGCTGGCTGGCTGGCTAGCTGGCTGGCTGGCTGATGGCTGGCTGCTTGGGGGGCTACGGATGACTGACTGCCCCTGTGCTGGATTCACCAGCAATTTGACGCCCCCCTTCCACATGGAAATAGCTCTGAACGATACAGGCGTAAGGGACCAGACAAGGTCCGAACGCTGCGGATGTTACAGCTTGCTACTTGCATTTCCATGACCCAAAAGTGAGGCCCAATCCCAACATGCCAAGGCCGGTCCGCTGAAATCAGATGTGACGCACGACTGGGAGATCCACAAATTGATGCGACCAACAACAAACACCTTGACAGCATGAACTCGTTCGAATTGAAATGCAGGTGATATGATAATATGATTTGTATGAGAGCTGTTACCCGGGGACCCTAAAAACTCCCGTGGGCCCCAGTGCTGCAACTGCGAGCTCTGTGCCGACCTGGGAGGGTCACTACATCAATGGCCGGTGGCGCATGTTGTTTGGTGACGAGAAGCCGCAAATGAATAAATAATTGTTCAATTTGTCCAGACTCTCTAGGTAATCCCGGGCACCAGTGTCGATCGTCGATCCACCAGCGAGATTGCCTGTTCTCACCCTTGGTCAAAGGACCTAGAAATCAATGGCGAACATTAACTAGGTTTTCCAGCCCCACTTTGCGTAAAACAAATAACACAAAACGGGGGAAACAAAAACAAGAAAATAAAAAACACTCCACCTCCCCATGTGGCGCAAAAAGAACAAAAACAACACACGCAGAGCACAAACAAGACAAAGAAAAACAAAACCATCCACTCCCCCCCACGTAAAAGAACATAACAATGAGAAACACGAAACACCTGCTGCTCCACATAACAACACGAAACACGAAACACAAACATAACAACAACAAAAAAACAAATCCGCCTGCTGCTCCTCCAGCAGCCCGTTGCCCCCGAGGCGGCCCCCCAGCTGCCGCGCCAGGCCCCGCAGCCGCGCTTGGTGCTTCAGGTCCTCCGAGGTCTCCTCGGTCCGCGCTGGGATCGGCGCGGTGGGGGCGGGGGCCATGGCTTTGAGGTGCGTGACTTTGAGGTTGGGGGGGTGGAGGGGTGGGTTGGGGTGGGTGGGGTGGGGTGGGGGGGGTGGGGAGATAGGGGTTGCTTTAAAGCCAAGAAAATCTTGTTTGGGGGGAGGGGGAGTCTATTTGGAGCACATCCAAAAACATCATTTGTAAGGATTTGGGTGCTCTCTAAATCAGTTCAAGGTGATGTCTTGACTGGATATTTCTGGGATGGGACCCCTTGGTATGCAGGGGACATGTAGTAGGCTTGCTGCTTTGTACCCCGTATGTCAGGCTCACATGTGCTCATGACTGTCAATTTGGTTCCTGCATTCCATGGCTCTGGGGATCCCAGAAATGGCCCCTGGATCCTTCAACTGGAAACTTTGAGTGATCCATCCCGTGATTTGGTTCAACTTTCCTTTTGAAGGATGTATAGCCATCAGGTTCTGTCACGCAGGCCGGCCTTCCTGTTCAGCCTCGGATTACAGGCAACCTCCGATTCAAATGGGAGCCAAAAGGAAACACCACCTTTTGACTCTCTTCCTCACATGTCCTGCACAACCTGTGGGACCCCACCGCGAAAAGGGAAACCCCACATCTGGCAGGAGTAGTAGTTGACTTAGGCATGTGTCCAAACACACCGACCCAAAAAAAAATGGTTGCACCCCAAAATGGGCACCCTCAAACAAACACCCCCCCCATGTTGAACAACCCAGTTTCAGACACACACACACACCCACACACACACACACCACACAGACACACACAGCCACACACTCACCCACACCCACACACTCACCCACACCCACACCCACAGCCACAGCCACAGCCACAGCCACAGCCACAGCCACACCAACCCACCCACCCACCCACCCACCCACACACTTACCCACACACTTACACACACACTTACACACACACACACTTTCACACACATACACAAACACAAACACAAACACAAACACAAGCACAAGCACAAACACAAGCACAAGCACAAGCACAAGCACAAGCACGAACACGAACACACAAACAAACACACAAACACAAACACAAACACGAACACGAACACACGAACACACGAACACGCAAACACACGAACACACAAACACACAAACAGACGAACACACAAACACACGAACACACGAACACACGAAAACCCACACCCACACCCACACGAACACACGAACACAGACACGAACACCCACACCCACACCCACACCCACACCCACCCCCAACACCAACACCAACACCAACACCAACACCAACACCAACACGCCCACGCCCACACCCACGCCCACGCACGCACACGCCCACGCCCACGCCCACGCCCACGCCCCCGCCTCGGCCCCCGCCTCGGCCCCCGCCCCCGCGCCCGCACCCGCGCACCCGCACCCGCACCGCACGCGCACGCTCACGCGCACGCGCGCCCGCAGGCACGCAGGCACACAGGCACGCAGGCACGCAGGCACGCAGCCGCGCAGGCA